CACCCACCCCCGGAACGACTCACGCCTGGCACCCACCCGGGGCTGCTCTGCCGCCGGGGAGTTCGGGTATTCTTCTGTGCCGTCAGGAGACAGCCGGGCTCAGGAAACTTTCCCACCGGCACAAAGGGAAGGGGCTCCTTCCAGCAGTCCGCGAGGACGGGCGACCCTTTCCTCCCCAGAGGAGGGGCCTGGGGGGGGGACCCGTGACTTCGGGTCCCGGCGGCAGGTGCCGGTCCCTGTCCCGCGGGACCCGGCTCGGGCGGGCACGTCCAGAGGCGGAGGGGAGGCGGGGCTGGCCGGCGTGATGAGTGGCAAAACGTGACCGTGCCCAGAAAGATGCTCGCCTGCCTGCTCCTCTCTGCCGAGCTGCTGCCTCCGTGCAACAGGGCGGTGGTGGGAAACTTTGGGAAAGCCGGGATCTCACCCCCACTTTCGAGTCCACAGAAGCGTCGTCATTCGTAGGCACGGGGCCGTCTCCCCCTTTTCCCCCCCTCCGACGATGTAGCGGGCGGGGGGGGGCTTTCCCGGCTGGCCCCTTGTGCAAAGGCCGCTCTCTGCCGGTGGGGCTGCTCTTCTCCCAGCTGGTTGTCTTCGCGAGGCGAAAGGCAGGCGGACGCTGCCCCCCCAAAAGCGGGGGGAGCCCCCCCTGGAGAGTTTGGGGCGTAGAAAAAGAAGCCCAGCCGGACCCTTTAATGCTGGGCTGCTGGCAGCCTGCAGAGTCTGCCTGGAAGGAGCGTACAGCCAAATTTCCTTGGCTCGCAGGACGTTAGCGGCTTCATTTGGCTCGCTTCCCTCACTTTTTTTTATTGCCGTTTTGAATTTAGGGGGTCGTGAGACAGAGAGGCGTGTTGAGGGTACAGCCGGGCGGCTCCTTGCGGATAGAGCGAAAGAGTCTGATTGATGTGGCTGGGGAGCCATTGATTTTATTCCCTCTCTGACTCGTTCAGGAGGGGGAGGAGGAGAGATGCTTTTTAAAAATACTCTTTGCGGATGCCAGGCTAGATTGGAAAACAAAACAAAAAAAACCCGGATCAGGCTGCTTGCGCGGGGGAAGCACATAAAGGACCCACGGAGGGCAATATCAGAAGCGGCCCTTTGAATTATTTTGCTCTGTGGTCCTTTGTAACACTGTCCATTGTATCCCCTGCCTTTCGCATTGTGTGCCAAATGCCTTCTGCACAGAGAAGTTTTTAAAAGCCAGGGAGGGATGTGCTCTGACCGCATTTGCAAATGTGTACCGTGGACTCGCTAATGGCCCAGCATGGTTAGGCGCATTGTCTGAGAGCTTCTTGAAAGTTGTGTTTCAGAAATGCAAACGCTTTCATCCCAAAGGCCGAGCGGCTTGCCTCTTAGGCAGCGCCGGGCTTCTCCCAGCACGTGCCAAGTGCTTTGCTACAGGTGAAACTGACCACAGGCCAGGAGCCCTGCTGTCTACGGGGAGGGATGGCAAAGCAGAGCCCTGAGTCAGCCTGGGCTTCCCTACCAAAGAGTGAGGGATATTGCAGTTTGTCGTCCCCCCCCCCCACCTCCTCCCCACCTTCTTTTTGTTCTGGAAATCCCAGGAGTGCAGACTAATCCCACAGCAAACAGCCTTGCTTGCCCAGCTAATTCCTCAGCAACCACAGTTAAAACGGCCCCAAATCTTGGCAAAGCAAAAAACTAACAATAGCTGGGAGTGGCAGGGGCTGGCGGGGCTGCCTGCCTGCCTGCCTGCTTGCACAATACCTGCACCGTTGCTTGGGATTAGGCTGCTGGCAGGGTGGATCCGAATGCAGGTCTGAGGAGTCCTTGGTTGGCAAGGGTGGGGGAGACAAGGGAAGTTAGTAAATGCAGATCCTGGGTTTCATTGGCATGAGTTTGTGGCGGAACTAGAGTGCCTGCTGCTGTTTGTAGAAAACACAGGGGGGATGTGGTGCTCAGTTAAGTTAGGAAGCCAGGCTGTGATATCCTAGCACTCAAGCAAGAGGACCTGGTCAACCTGGTCCATCCGGGTTGTGGTGGAAGGACTGTGAATACCTTCCTGTTTTCTTTGCAGGTGGGGTGAGGAGTGAGGAAAGGTGGGATGGGGTGTGGTTGAAGGCACAGCTGCTTTTTGTTTCTGCACCCGTTGTTTAAGATTTTGGAACTACTAGTGAAACTTGGAAGGAGAAAATTGTGACAAAACTGTTCAGCCTTTTGAGATCCCGTATTGATTAAAAATAAAACCCTTCAAGCCACCCCTTATAAAATGCACACATTAGGCCACAGTATGTAACACCTTTACATTTTTCTGCACTTAATTACGGTTTATCTGAGCCTCTTTCATTCATTCAATGTATATTCGGCTTCTGTTTGATGTACATTCTTAGTGTGTGTGTATATGTGTGTGTGTATGTGTGTGTGTGTGTGTATATGTGTGTGTGTGTGTGTGTGTGTATATGTGTGTGTGTATATATATATTTTTCTTACAGCCTGGAATTTTTCAAGCATTGATGCCTAATTACAAAATCAGAATGTTCAAACATGAATGTACACAAATACGTGAAAAGCCCTTTGATGAGCAGCAGCCAAATTTGTGACCTATTCTACTAGAAAGTGTTTAATTATGTATGTGGTGGGAATGCCTTATTATATCTTTGGGATTTTTAAGCATTATTGGCCAAAAATATCAATGGATGTTTGCTGCCCTTTCCTAGTATTAAGAAGGATTTAATCTTTCCCCTCTTAATGGCAGCTACCTGCATGCAGGGTAGAACACAGAATCTAAGACCAGGCCCCTCTTTGTTAATATGGAATAGGAAAATTTGGGAATGCGGGGGGGGGGGAAGTATACCAACTCAACTGCATACCTGCTTGCACAGCCTTATTTTTATGAGATTTGCCAAATAGCCATTTGGAATGATTTCTGAATCTATAAAATATAAAACTTTTTTGTGTAGATTAGTGATTCATTATTTTGATTTGAAACTTCATTTCTGTCTTCTGTATAACCCATGCTATCGTAGTTGACATTAATGATAGATACACTGGCAGTGTTTTATTTAATTATGTGTTCATTTCCTGTGTTTGTATTTGTAAACTTCATTGTTTTATTATCTTTGTTCTTAAAATAACTTCAGTGATACCACTTGGAAAAGAAAAAGAGTTTCATATGAAAGGATAGAAAGGTTCTGCGCCTTGTGTGATGGCTGCGGTGGCCCATCCACAAATGCAAGGTCCTGCTTGATGTTGCAGTTCCTGAATGATGAACATCCACGTATGAACCAGGCGACACAAATCATCCCACTCTCTGCTAAGGCAGGATACTTCTGACTTAGGGTGTCTCACTCAGATTTATTTCCAGTTTTTCTTTGATTGATTGATTCAAACATACCATTTTCCTTCACAGTGGGGACCCAAAGTGGCATACAACAGCTCCCCCCCTTCCATTTTATCTACACAACAACCCAGTGAGGCAGATTAAGCTAGCCCGCAGACATCCCGTGGGCTTCTGTGGCAGAGCAGGGATTCCAGGCTGTGTTTTCCAGATCCTAGTCTGACACTGTTACTCCATGCTGGGTTGAAAAGGGAGCGCTTCAGAAAGCTCTAAGGAAGAATTGTGTGGGGCATTCGTAAGCAGCCTGTTCCATGGAATCCCTCTGCATCATTCAATACAGGCTAAAATCACCATCCACCCTTACAAATGATTCCTGTGTAATGTTAGGCTATTATGTGCTTGTGTCGTATCCTGCCAAGACTGGAACAGTTAGAGCACCTAAGGCTGTGCTCTCCACTGTTGGAGCCCCGCGTGCTTTTAGAGCAGAGGTCTAAGAGCAGAGCCCTGCGTGCCACAGCTCCCACAGACACCTTTCCTGGTGCCCATCCAGGGTTGTTGGAAAGTGGGTGAGGCAAGATGGGGGACCTCCCCAACAGGGATTCTGATTGGCCACTGGAGAGCCAGTTGGCTGGGCAGATGAAACAAATGTTTCAGTGATAGCTGCCCCCTCAGTGTTGATTTTATTTTCTGTTACTTCTCTTTTCCAATGCATTTTTAAAATTACCTCCCCCTTTCCCCCCGCACTTGGGCTTCCTCTGAGTGTGGCTCCGCCTCCTGCAGCACCCCTTTTGTGGTTTGCTGCACCCCCTGTGGCAGGAATTTTGAGGTTGCACTCATCACTGCCTTTTGTCAGAATTCCAAAGGTGCCTGTGGGCTGAAAAAAGTTTGGGATCCCTGCCTTAGAGAATATAGTAATATCATTATACCTAATTCTCAACATAGCTCCATCTGCAGATACT